CTGCTCCTGTTCAAGGACCCTGGCTCACTGGACTCCTTCCTCGAGGACTTCCTGAGTGGGAACGGTGAGCAGCACTCAGGTGCCACTCTGGAGCCGGACACCTGGGTTCCAAGCAAGTCACAAGTGCTTTGAGATTGTGCCTCCCCAGCCCTTTGCCCAGGACCCGGCACAGCTCAGATCCCCCCTCCCCAAACAGCCACAGCACAACCAGGGGTCTGTAAACACCACAGACGTCCAGCCCACCCCTCCTCCCAGTGCCAGGATAGAACCCAGGTGTCCCAGGCCCCTGCAGTCCCCAGCAGACCAGGGTGGAGGGGCCGGGTGGTGCCAGCTCTGGGGTCACCATGCCACTCTCCCCTGCACAGTGCCCTACGGCTCCTGGTTCGACCACGTCACCGGCTGGATGGGGCTGAAGGGCAACGAGAACTTCTTCTCCATCACCTACGAGGAGCTGCAGCAGGTAGGGAAACCCTGCCCTTGGGTCATGCCCACACATAACTCCACCCCCTGGGGCCACCCACACATAGCCCCGCCCCTGTGGACACACCTACACTTAACCTTGTCCCTGTGGCTATGCCCACATATAATCCCGCCCCCTGGGGCCACGCCCACATATAACCTAGCTCCCTGTGAGCCAAACTCACACTTAACCCTGCCCCAGGCAGCCAAGGTAGCTTGTGGCCAAGGCCCTCTGCCCTCAGAGGCGTCTGTTTGTCTGGACCCAGTGGGGAGCAGAACCTTCCGTGTGGGGAAACTGAGGAACCCCAGATCCCACCCTTCACAGCAGCGGGTTTCTCCCTCAGGATCCGTGGGGCAGCGTGCGGAGAATCTGCCACTTCCTGGGGAAGGAGCTGAGTGAGGAGCAAGTGGCCGCGGTGGTGAACGCCTCCTTCCAGAGCATGAAGGGGAACAAAATGTCCAACTACTCGCAGCTGAGGGATGATTACATGGACCACCAGAAGGGGGATTTCCTGAGGAAAGGTGAGTCCAGGTTGGGGGCTGCAGGTCAGGATTAAGGGGCACTGGCAGAGTTGCATGAGGCAGGGCCAGGAGAGCTGGGGGCTTTAGGTCAGGAGTGAGAGGCATGGGCAGAGGTTGGGGGTGCAGGGGCTGTGGGTTGGGAGTGAGGGGCATGGGCAGAGGTTGGGGGGGCAGGGCTAGGGCTGCAGAGGACGCTAGACCATGTCCCCTGTGGTTTGCAGGGATCTGCGGTGACTGGAGGAACCATCTCTCGGAGGCACAGAGCCAACGATTCGACACCGTTTACCGGGAGCAGATGCAGGGTCTGGGCATGACCTTCCCCTGGGACTGACAGCCCCGCGTCCGCCACATCTGCACCCGCAATACACCGGCCCTGTGCCACCCACGTGCTGCTGCTCTTACTGTGCCCTGGGAGATGCCCCCTGGGGCTGCATCACTGGGCTGGGGTGTGTGACCAGCAGGGGGCAGCACCCACCCATGGGCACCCATAGGGCAGATCTACATTTTTACTAATACATGTGAAGAAAGGGTTAGGGTTACTAAGAACAAAGCCAGACACTGTAAATGTTGCCTTTGCCTAAACCCGATGGGTTTGTTAGTATAATGGGAATGGATAAGAGCAGTTCAAGTGTTACTGGGCATGGTGGGAATGTATAGACTGGGGTAGGCCACGTTTCAGAAGCGGTGTGCCGAGACTTCATTTATTCACTCTAATTTAAGGTTTCATGTGCCAGTAATACATTTTAACATTTTTTTTAGAAGGTCTCTTTCTATAACTAAACTATTGTATGTAAAGTAAACAAGGTTTTCAAAATGTTTAAGAAGCGTCATTTAAAGCTAAATTAAAATGCTGATCTTACGCCACCAGCCTGCTCGGCTTGCTGCCAGACTGGGGTTCTGTTTGCCTAGGCTGGCAGGGGGCTGAGTAGGGCCTATGGCCAGGACTCTGCCCTGTGGGAGTAGGGGGTGTGTGTGCGTGGGGGGTGGGGGTGGGTGTTGGTGTTGCCAGGGGGCTAGAAGGGATATGCCCTGTTCCACCCCCAGGCTCCGTCCCGACCTCTCTCTGGGTCCTCTACGGAGCTGTGTGCATGCTGCCCGCTCTTCCCCCTCGCTAGGGCCATCAGCTGATTGGTGCAGGGAAGGGGAGGAGGAGGGGCAGGAAAGCACCACGCTGGGGAAAGAAGCAGGGGAGGGGGGAAGCTTGGCTGCCGCAGAACCAAGCTTCTGTCCCCGCAGGGGTGGGCGGGGGGGCTAAGTGGAGCGGGGGGCCGGGACCGTGGCAGGAATCTGTGTGCCACTCAAAATTGGCTCACGTGCCACAGGTTGCCGACCCCTAGTATAGACGCATGCACATTTGAAGACTGCCTCAGCTCCTTATCTCAAGGCAAGGTTAAACAATCAGTTTGGGGGGGCTGGGGGGCTGGCATCAGAAACACTAAAAGACAAAGAAAAACCTGGTGGTGGCCAGAGCACATCCTCACTCCTTACCCCTCCCGGGGGTACCAAAGGGGTGGGACGAAGACCCCAACTCATGACCCTCCCAAACGGAACCTGACCATAGGTTGTAAGCAGGGGCGGCAGGTTTGTATCAGGTTTGGTGGTGCGCAGAACAGGTCCAAGTCTCCCAGCCTCCACTTTGTCAGCCCATCTACAGTAACTCCTCACTTAATCGTCCCGGTTAACTTTGTTATGTTGCTGATCAATTAGAGCAGTGGCTCTCAAACTTTTTTGCGGACCACTGGAAAATTGCTGAGGGTCTTGGCTGACCCCTTAATGATCTTTCCAAATGTTGTTTGTACCGTTAGCTAACTATTGTAAAGCGCTTTGGATAAAAGCGCTATATAGAAACCCTTAATACACCTCTACCCCCGATATAACGCTGTCCGCGGGAACCAAAAAATCTTACCATGTTATAGGTGAAACTGCGTTATATTGAACTTGTGCTATATAAAAACCCTTAATAATAATTAAGGTTTTTTTGTTCTACATATAAAAGCACACAACTCATACTTTAATATGAGTACAGGCATGTCTCATTTTACGCTGGGGTTACGTTCTGCTGTCAGCACGTAAAGGGAAAATTGCATACAGTCAAAATTACATTGAGTCTAATGGCGGGTGGAATCGCCCGCACTACGGGTACAGTATTTAAATTGTTGTTTTTCTCTTTTTTGTTTTTGCCGACCGCGCAAAGCTGAATTTGTGCATGTTAAATGCACGTAAGATGAGACTCGCCTGTAGTCTTAACCTTTCTAAGGCGACGGATGTGCCCTCTTTCCCCTGCTGCAGCAGCCCCCGGCCTGGGAAGGAGGGGGCGTCTCTCCCTGGCAGTCGCAGCCCTGGAGCTGTGGAAAGTCACGTCTTTCTCTGGCCGCCGCAGGCCTACATGACACAAATTCCCCAACCCCCTCTTCTCACCCCACTGCTCCCTCCCAGCTACCCCCTCTTCCCCCCCAAGGCCACCACCTCACCTTACATGTGCATCTTCTCTAGGGTGCAGGCACCTAATTAGTGGAGCCACACCTGCGCCTTCATTCTCTGATGTGCAGCCACCCAGGCATGCACCGTAGAGGGAACTATCCACCGGCCACCTCAATGGAGCTCGGTCCGTGGACCACAGTTTGAGAACCTCTGAATTAGAGAAGATGCTCATTTGAAGTTGCGCTATGCTCCCTTCTAGTGTTGTTTGGCAGCCGCCTGCTTTGTCCACTGTCCGTTGGAGCTAGCTGGTGGGGGCTTGGAACCAGCGTTGGCCGGCAGCCCCCCCCCATCACCTCCCCTGAGTTCCCTGGGGGGCCCAGCAGGCTATCAATTGCTGGCAGTTCAGCTGCCCCTCCCCCCACTGCCATGGGCTGCTCCTGCCCTCTGCCTTGCGACTGCTCCCCTGAACCTCCTGCTTGCTGTGCAGATGGGGGGGAAGACAGGTGCTGATGTCAGCATGTCCCCCTCCCCCCACTCCCGTACCCCATCTCCAGCGGGGTGGGGGCAGACACACGACAGGGCTCAGGATGGAGGGAGCTTGCTGGCAGTAGCTGCTGTCTCAACTTGCTGATCTATTTAAAAAGGCAATGTACTTAGAGGGGGGGTCAGCGTACTTAAAAGGGCAATGCATGTGTGTCTGTCTCTGTCTCTCTCTCTCTCTCTCACACACGGTGTGTCTCTCTGTCTCTGTCTGCCATGCTGTCTCCCCTCCCTCCGTTCCTGCTGCCTTGTAGAGTGTGAGGCTACATTAAAAACAACGTTTTAACCCTTGAGGGCTCAGCCAAGTGCTAGTTCATCATTTAGCAGTAAGGCTCCCTGGGAAATATCCCACCCGCTGACTCCACCACCTCAACCAAGCTTCACAATCATCATTGCTGTGTACAGTGTTAAATTGTTTTAAAACTTATACTGTTTGTGTGTGTGTGTGTGTGTGTGTATATATATATATATATATATATATATGTAACCCTTCTGCCCAACTAAGTTGGCAGCAACAAGGGCCGGGTTCTGTATCTAGGGGTTCCGTTTCAATAACACAATGCAAAACCGGCTCGAGCCCCCACCCAGTGACCTGGGACAATTACATACCACCCCCCTGGGTACCTCTAAGAGGCAATACTTCCCCTCTCACAAGCACAGAGTCGGAGTGTACCAGAAAATGTTTAATAACATGAGGTAAACGACATCAGCATAAAATTGGAAAAACACCACAAACAGGATTCCTAACACAAACCATGAGCCAAACCCACCCCAGCAAATTGGGCTGTGTCCTTTCCCTTTGGTTCTTGAATCCAGCAATCCAAAAATCACCCAGAGTCCCCAAAGTCCAACATCCCCAAAATCTCTTGGGTCCAGCAACCACCCAAAGTCCCAAAAGTCCAACAACCCCCAAAGTCTCTGTCCCTGGTCAGTGCAGCCCCAGAGTAAAAGGGGGGGGCACGCAGGGTGTTAAGGGGCACCTTACGTGATCCGAGGCTGGCCAGCCGTCTGTTTCTCCGTGGTTCCGCCGCAGCCTTTACCACGAGCCAGTCCACTTTCCTGCCATCCCACGAACTGCTCCGCTCTACAAGCTGCTCCGCTCCGCTCCGCTCCGCTCACCGACCTGTGAGCCGTTCCAGCCGTCCCCGCAAACAGCTCTGCTCGCCATTCCTTGGGCCACTCCAACTGGCCCGGCAAGGCTCCACGCCACTCGCTGCTCCTCCAGTCGTCCCCACAAATTGCTCCGCCAGCTGCTGAGCAGTATAGCTTCAGGCTCCCCCACTAGTTAACACAGCCTTAGTGATCTCAGCTCTTAATAGCATTAGCTCTTTTGTGATTTCAGCTCTTAGCGATTTCAGCTCATAGGGGAGCCCCAGTGCTGGTGCACCATTGGCCCAAAGTGAATTCAGCTCAGAAGCCTGTAACTAGACTCCTAAGGGAATCAAAGTTCACTCTGATATTC